GGCGGCGGCGGCGGCGGCCGCGAGGGCCGCGTCCCGGCCGCCGGCCTGCGGGCGTAGCGCGCGGGGCCTGGGCGCCGAGCCCGGAGTCATCCCCGGTGCGGGCCGCGGGCGCAGCGGCGGGCGCTCGGAGGGCCGGCCCGCGGCCCGCGCTCCATGCTGCCGCCTCCCCGCCGCCGCGGTGCTGCTGGCGGGCGCTCCTCCGGGCGCCGCTGCGGGCGCTGCCCTGCGCCTTCCTCCGCGAGCCGAGAGTCTCCGAGCGCAACTTTCTCTCCGCCTCGCTCCAGGCGGTGCGAGGGTCGCGGCGAGTGTTTTTAGTGCGCGGGTCGCAGCTTGCTCATTGTGCGCCGGCGAGGCCGATCCGGGCTGTCCTTTTCCTCCCCGCACTTAGTCTAAGAGGAAGAAAGCAAACAAGACAGAGGAGTGAAGCCCCCGTACATACATGCGCCGGGGGGAGATGTCAGGCTCTGCTCCACCTTCCAAACAGTCACAGATCAAACAGTGTCACCCCGCCGTAGCGCCACTTGGTGCCCCGCGCTCCCCGCGGGGCTGTGCCGCCAGGATCGCCAGTTCTTCCGATGCGAAATCTAATGCAAACACATTTTTATCATGGATTTTTGGCCGGTCTTGATCTTCCAACAGAAAAAAATTTGAAAAATACAGAAAAAGCACCCCTCCTCCAAAAAAAAAAAAAAAGCCAACAACAACCCGGAGAGTGTGTGCGAAGGGGTGAAGAGCAGACGTTCACTGGGTGGGCGAGATGAGCGTGGACTGTCCCCCCCAAACTCCTGGGAGAGAGGGAGATGCACTCTCGCTCTCTCCTCTTTTCAGTGAAATATAACACACATTCGGATCGCAGAGCTTTCAGACAGTCTCAACTGATAGACAGACACATCGAGCTGCTTTTCCGGCTTCAGTTTTTACTCCTCCTCCTCTTGCCAACGTCACCCTGACAATTACAAATAGGTCCCTCACAAACCATACCTGTCAATCTTTTTAATTGCTTTGTTTTCTTTTTTTTTCTCCTAGCTGAACAATATGACACAAAAAAGAAATCTTAATACGGCATAACATAAAAGATTGCACATTGGAGAAAGACATTGAGGGGGTTGTTATTGCAACCCACCGGCTGATACTGGGTAAAACCCATGTGTTATAAGCCAAGTTAAGTAGACACTAGTTCCTGCAGATTTTTAAACCGGTAAGTCTCCCCCTCCGCCCCCGCTTGTACATTCATACACACATGCACCCACGTGGATACAAACTACCCTTGGATGAGGAATGTCCGACATTTGAGATAAAAATACCTGTGTCACTTTGGCAATCTTAGTTTCGGGGGTTAGATCTGATTGGGGAGGGGCACTACGCGGCTTTTATAGTTTGGTAATTAATGGGTAAGTGGAAAACAACAAAAAAAATTATTAAAATGTATACCTTTAATAAAAATTTAATGATGGATTTGCTCATTACACAAAATATGTGGAAAATATGTAATCTGGTCCCTCTGTGAAAAGTGAATTGATTGTTTGGTCAATACAAACAATTAGGAAGAAAATTGACACGATGGAACTGCAGATCTTTCTAGCTGGGTTATAAAAAGAGGTCTTCATACATCATGCCAACGTCTCCAATTCAATTAAGTCCCTCGGCATCCCCACCCAGAAGTTTAAAATGTTTATGTGCTCTGGGAATTCGGCCTTCTGGTTTCCAATATATATGTTCTTTCCCAATGGGAAACCCGTAACAGTCTTGCAGAGGCCACATACAACATTCATGGAAAAACACGAAATCTTGGCCAAAAGAAATAAAACGGCTTAGTTCGTGCAACTTGCACGGGACAGACTAAGGGCAGAAGGCGCGGGCAAGGCGTTGTGGGCACGGGGTCCAAGAGCCTGGGGCGCAGGATGCCCTGGGCGCCCCCCGCCCGGCGTTGGGTGCCCTTGAGGGCGCCCCGGCGGCCAGGGCTCCCCGCCCGGCCCCGGGCCCTGGCCGTGCCCCGCCGCCCTGGCCGCGCTCGGGGTTGATTCGTACCACCTTGCAAGGAAGTGAAAGCTTCGCACGGGAAGGGGAGGCGCCTGCGCCGGCTGCCGGGCGCCGCGCAGCTCTGAGGACGCCCCGGGCTGCCGCCGGCTGTGGGCCGCGGCGATCGCGGGACGCGCGGGTCCCCTCGCCGCCCCCCTCACCCTTTTAGAGGAGTCAAATCCGGCTTTTAGACCGTGGGGAGGGTGGGGATATCCGGTGCCTCCCGGGCGCCGAGAGGAAGGGGGAGGGCGGAGAAGATCCTTGGCCAGTCTGCGCCGAGCAGATTCAAACCAAAACAAAAAGATTAAAGGAGCAGTGGCCGGAGCGGCAGCGATCCCCCCGGCCCGGACCCCGGGGGTGGCGCGCCCGGGAACCGCGGGGGCTGCGCTGACTCCCCGCGGGGCAGGAGGGGGGAGCGGGCACCAGGCGTAGTGGGGAAGGCGCGGGGGGGGGAGCCGAGGGGAGGGCGCGGGCCGGAGGAGGGGCGGACCCGCCCGCTCCGCCCGCAGCGCGGAGCCGAGCCGAGCGGCCAGGGCTGGGCGCGACCCCGGCCAGCGGCGGCGCAGAAAGCAGGCGGAGGCGCGGGTCATGCTACGGCTGGCGCTTGCCGGGGCCCGAGCCATCGTGGACATGTCGTACTCCCGCCACTTCCTGGACTTCCAGGGCTCGGCCATCCCCTGCGCCATGCAGAAGCTGGTGGTGACCCGGCTGAGCCCCAACTTCCGCGAGGCCGTCACCCTGCGCTGGGACTGCCCGGTGCCACTCCCCGGGGACGGAGACCTCCTCGTCCGGAACCGGTGAGCCCGGCGCGCGCCCCCCGCCCCGGCTCCGGCCCGGGCCCCGGCCCCGGCCAGCGCTGCGCAGCTCCCGGGCTGTCCCGCGCCCGCCTGCGTCCCCACACCCGGCGCGCGCTCGGGCGCACAGCCTGACTTTGCGAGATCCCGGGAAGTTGAACCCGCCGCCATCTGGCGAAGGCGAATGTTATGTGACTGTTGCTGGTGTGAATATCCGATGGCACCGAACGTCCTCAAAACTGAGGGTTATTTTAATTTGGGATTCCCCTCCCCTCCCCCAGCCCTCCCTCCTCCCCCTCCCGCTCCCGAAATAAAACCGACGGGACCCAGAAGGGGAGGCTCCCCGCCCTGCCCACCCGCGCGCATCCACGGCTCCTGCGTTCGCATAATCTTTAGGGTGGAGCGGGAACAGCCTGGACACAAACTGCGACATTTAGGTAACGTGCTTTGGAGGAAGGAGGCCGGGGACCCGCTGGCTTTTCCCGTTTGCTCCAGGTTGGCAGCCACCTCGCAATGGCGGAGCCTGTCGTTGGGTGTGTCGGTGTGCGCCTCGCCGGTGCCGTCTGCGTGTTGTCAGTGCTGTGTGACTGTCGTCTGTGCCCTGCAGCGTACCGACGGGCGCGTGGCGCGCGTCCCGGGCGGCTGGGCAGGGGCCGGGGTGGGAGCATGGCTGCATTGGGCCGCACGTTTTGCAGACCTTCGGGTGACACTCGCTCGGGTCGTTGCCCGACCTTTGGACTGTCTTTTCCACCTCCACACTTCCCACCTGAGGGTGTTTCCACCTCATAATCTTTAGTAACTGCTGAAGCAACAGGAAGGAAGGGACCTCACTCTTCGGAGCCGTGCCCGCGGGTCTGCCGGGTGGGTCCCCTGGCAGCCGGGCTTGCAGGCGGGCCGGTCCCCGTTCCTCTACTCCCTGGGCAAAAGAAGGACTCGCCCGCCCGCTCAGTCCCATATGAGGGGTTCCAGTGTTGCATATTTCAGGTTGAATAGTACTTTCGAAGGGAGAAGTAAATTCTGGTTGTAACCGTGTTGTAAATGGTGTGCTAGAAAGGACCAAGTCCCCTGCGAGGGCTGAAGGACAAAATGCATCTTATCTAAATAGCTTGGGGTAAAGCTTAAGTGTCCATTTTAGTAAAAATTCATATCAACCTTCCAAACAAGGCTGGAAGACTTCAGAATTCTGATCATGACATGAAACTTCTGGGGACCTGTTGGAAACTTAGAAATTGAGTGAGCCAAGGGCGGGATTGAGTGGAGGCTGGGGATGAGGTGGGCGCGGGGAGTGCCTTAAACGGTGGGCCGTGTGTGTCCTTTAAAATTTTTGCACTGATGGAAACTGGGCTGCAGAGGACTTCATCGTGCCCTGAAAGGCTAAGGCTGTCGAGATCCGGACGCGTCCTACCAAGTTAAAAAGAAAGGCGTGTGTGTTCACGCAGAACATACAGAACACACGAGTGATTTGCTGGAAGTCGAGATGAGATTCAGACCGAAAAGCCTCCAAACAGACTTCACAGGCAAAGTTTCACCCAGGCTTTTTTTTTTTTTTTTCTTCTTTCTTTTTCCGATGCACTGCACTGGTGATGGTGAACACTGATGTACACACACCCACGACTGCTTAGAAAAATAATACCTTTTGCAAACAGGGTGTGAAATGGGGAGGGGCGACTGAGCGGGGCAGGCAGGGGAAGGTGTGAAGTTCCAGCACTCCCAGCAGCAGAGAGGTGGGCCCCCCGCCCGCGCCGTCGTGGAGGCTGCTCCCGGCCGCCCGGCTTCCCCACCTCCAGGGCACCGGCTCCCCCGGTTGTGCCCCCCTTCCCCGCGTTGGGTAACCGGGGCCGGTCCCTGAATTGGGTGGTCGGAGTTCTGGAGCGCCGGCTGCCATGTTGGAAGCTCCTCAATTTGGAGGAGATCCATGCTTCTATCTTCCATCCCCATATGACAAAAATCCCTTTAATATAAACAGTATATTTATACTAAACGCTTGACCTCTAACTTCTACTTTGAAATCCGCAACAGAAGAATGGGGCGAGTTTTCTGCTTCTGGGGAGGGGCGGAACCTTTGCTTCTCCCTCTCCTTACTCTGTTGGAAAATCTGCTCCCACCTCCAAATTGTGGAAAGGTCCTTTATTCTAGCAAACGTTGTCAGTAAGGGAGGCATTTTACCGTTTTTTGTTTTTTGTTTTTTTTTTTTAAGAATAGAGCCTTAGTAATTCGCTGCAGGTTAGTTCATTTTAATCCTAGACGAAATCGCCCCAAACAGTATTAACTGCATGACAATTTTGTGCAAGAGCTTCTTATTTTTATCGTAATAAAATCTGCTCTGGAATGAATGGATTCAGCCCAAATTCACTTGTTCGGAAAGGTGTTTGGGGGTTTTAATTGTGCTCCGTCTTGACTTTTTTTTTCAGTGGAACCTTTTGCACGTCTCATTCCATTTTAACAGAAAATACAAATTTTCTGTTCACGGTGAGGGAAGTGCTTTTTAAGCCAGACATCGATTTAAGATAATCAGGTTTACCATTTAGGAAAGGTGTGAGAAGGGGAGCCTAGAATCCCTCCAGAATGTGTCATCGGTGTTCCTTTATCCAGTTCTCACCTTCCGGTTTCAAACATACGAGGACGACCTTGCTTCTCTTCCTGGATGCCCAGCCCGCAGAAAAGAAAAGAAAAAAGGGAGAAAGACACCTTCTGGTTAAGTCAGTTCGCGCACTATTTTTAGCTTTTTCTGTAAGATAGTGACACATTATTTCGTTTCCAAATATTTCTAACGATTTTCTGCTCAAGTGTAAGATAAAGGAGCAAAGAGTTTGTAGGAATGGCAAACAGAAAATGGGGGATGGGGAAGGCGTTTTTGATAAACCGTTTGTTGCTCACGGGAGGGTAACTATTTCTGCTGATTCTCCAGGCCAAGCTTTTTTTCCTTCATTCTTCCTTTTCTTTTTCTTTTTTTTTTCTTTCTTTTTTTAAAGGGAAGGTCTGGTTTGGACGACTTTGTCTCCCAGTATTTGCTCTGGACTTGAGTTTTCAGGTTTGGTTTTTGTTCAGAGAAAAGCCTTTCCCTGAGGCCCTCTGAGGGCTGCCCTGTTTCACAGTAAATATGACGAAGGGGTTCATCACTTTTTAGTATAAATAAACCGAGTGACTCTGGAAGGGTATATATTTGGGGAAAGTCCGCACCGTCCCATTCTTTTTCCTGGGGTTCCTCGATTTTAGTCTTTTGAGTGGGTCTGCCCGTCGGATCGCTAGACCCCTGCACTCATTAAAAGCACATATTTGAAGTTAAAGGGGGGTACAAGGCGAGGGTCCCAATGCGCGTCTCCCCTTCCTTCTTTTCTCGCTCGCGCGCTCTTCCTTCCCCCTGCTCCCCCGACCCGGACCCCTTGCCCACTGCGCCTGCTGCTCTTGAACTTGTTTCTGACGGAGCCGAAGGCGCGGTCTCCCGACCCTCGCGCAGCTCTTCCCAAAGCCCAGGTAAGAACCTAGGCGCGTCCGGGCAGTGGCGGGTGCCCACCAGCCGCGGCGGCGGCGCAGCGTCAAAGCGGGGGTCCAGGGAGAGGTGGGGATGCGCACCAGGGTCTGGGCGACCCTGGAGAGGGCGAGGGGCGCGAAGCCGAGTAGGAACTCGGGATTCCTTCACCAACAACGCAGGCTCTTTAGAGGGCGGCAGGGTGGGGTGGGGAGACACAAAAAATGGGGGTGCCTTTGAGGCCAAGGTCACGGTCTGGCCGCCGGCGGCTTCTGTCCCGCGGCCTCTGCGCTCCGGCGCGCCGTGTGCTCGGGGCTCCCCTCGCACTTGACCACCCCTGGGCCCGAGCTCCGCTGCCGATGCGAGCTGGGCGCGCCCGCCGGGACCCCCGCTCGGCCCAGGGAGGCCGAGGTCACGGTCGTGGGCCTGGGCGGCGACCTGCGCGGCCCCAGCCCGCTCCGGGAGTCGGACTCACTGATGGCGTCTGGGTGGTGGCGGTGGAGAGGCCGCGGGGCGGCGGAGGCCGGGCACCTCCGAGAAGAGACACCCGCAGAAGCGCTGGTTTCGGGCGCCCTGCAGGCTCGCCCGGGCGCACCGAGGGCGCCGCAGGGAGTCGGAGACGTGGAGTGGGCGCGCGGCGGGCCCTGCGGTCTCCTGCCACCCCTCCAGCGCTGGCCGGGCTCCACCGCAATGTTTGATTTGGGCTTTTCAGCAAAGCCCCGTGGTAAACTCAAGCTCCCGGCAGAGCCCCCCAACACGCGCGCACACGCACGCGGGGGCCCTCTCCCCACCGCTTTCCTCCCAGGCGTGCGCCCTGCTCCGTCCCGCCACCTCTCCCCGGGAAGTGGCCACCACGGCCCGGGGCGGCAGACGGCGGGGATTGCGTTTTCCTCCAGCAGCGCCTTCCCGCTCGAAGCCCCCCCAGGGCATCCCGTTCCGAGGGGGGGGGGCGACCCGAGGGGCCAGCTCCCACCGGGGCGTCCCTCCGAGTCCAAGGCAAGGGCTCCCCGCAAGGGAAGGGCCTCTGCGGTTGGGAAGGTAGAAACGCCAGCCGGATTGGGGTGGGGGGGGGAAGGAGGGGGATGAGACGGGAGGGGCGAGGGCCACGGGACGAAGAGAAGGGAGCTGGCGATCCGCCCTGGCCCCCAGCCTCTGTGGCACAGGCCGCCACTCCCACCCCCGGGGACGCCTCCTTAGAGTTGGCTTTGCGGCCTCGAGCAGGGCACCAAGAGGTGATCCAGCTGGGCTCTGCCCTGGCAGGCCTCCGTGAGGTCCAGAAGCACGCTCTCAGGAAGCTGGCCCCTTTTTAAAAAAGACTAGGCCTGGAGAGTTGGGTAAATTGAAAGGAAAGGTAGGGGCCCCTCCCCCCCACTCCAAAAAATAGACCGTGGGCATCTTGGTATTAAAGGCCGAATGAGAAGCCACCAAAAATCATTATTCCCGCGGCTCGTTACTGTGTGTCACGTATGGGTATGGAATTCTGTAGCGTGTTAGTGAGGCTGTGTGTCTGCTAACCTCTGAAAGCGGCTGGACGTGCCCGAAGGAAAGTGCTTCCTGCTTTCTTATTTCTACAGGATGTAGAGAGCTTTCGAGGGTGTAGATATACAGGGCACAATCATAAGGGCGCATGTGTAAGTGCAAAGCATTGTCTATAATACAGTGGAAGTGGATCCTTGCATGGGGCAGTTTGGGGTTTATTAAGTTAAATTAAAAGTAAATTATTTTAAAATGGCCTACTTTACCAGCTTTCCTCCTGCCACCAGATACCACCACCTTTTCATTTCATTACAGGTGGAAATGACATTTTTAGGGTCCTGCGTTACGTGTCTCAGCCACCTCCTGACATCCTTAGGAGACGGCTTTTTTCCTTATGTATCAGGATATTTCTGTTATGAGGTATACTGAGATGAAAAAAAGCTGGTAAAAATACCAGCCTCGCAATTAAATTGACTCTGGATACCAAGTGAAAATAATCATCTGGTATTAATCAAGTACGTCTCTGCTTCTTGTTGAGGAAAAATATAGTGCCGATTTGCTTTCCTTTTCATCTGGGAAGGACTGTAAAATGTTGGATGTTGCATAAAAATCTCTCTACCCTTATGAGACAATTTTTGTTCAGTTAATCAAAGTGCATATTTTCACGCTGGACGTAGTTACATGAGAAAGAAAATTTGCTGCAGCCTCGCTCACACTGAAACAACCCCTGCAGTAACGTGTAACAGCCAGTGACCTTGCACGTTACATCAACCTTTAATAATATCATTGTCGTTACTATTATTATCTGAAGTGTTAAATTGTTGCCAGAATCAATACGCGTCTACTTCTTTGAATATATTTTATCCCACTGTTGTTTTTAACATCTTTGTTAAGAGGCCAATTAATTTCCAACTCATAGCTCCAGTGAAGTTTGTGTATAAGAGGGCTTCCTAACTTTTTTTTTTTTCTCTTTTGAAAGGAATTGGAGGGGGATAAATGGCATGTGAAGTACATAGCTTGCTGTTTAGAGGGATGTGAAATTATTCCTAAACTAATGAAAGAATAAAATACACCAAAACTCTAACAAATCACTGTTGAAATCACACTTGTTTGATTTCTCTCTTTTTTTTTTTTTTTTGAACTGAATATCAGGACCGTTTTTTTCAAATTCTATCAGAATATATAGCTTCACCACCCACCACAGTCACCAGAATTAGAGGACTTTTTCTAAGTGGGATAGAAAGGCCTTGATGAAGAAAACATCTGAATGTATTTGTGTTTGTTTTCTTCTAGATTTGTTGGTGTTAATGCATCTGACATAAACTATTCAGCCGGCCGCTATGACCCTTCCGTCAAGACCCCGTTTGATGCAGGTTTCGAAGGTGTAGGCGAGGTGGTGGCCTTGGGCCTCTCCGCCAGTGCCACATTCACAGTTGGCCAGGCTGTGGCTTACATGGCACCTGGCTCTTTTGCCGAGTACACAGTGGTGCCCGCCAGCACGGCCATTCCTGTGCCGGCCGTGAAACCCGAGTACCTCACCCTCCTGGTGAGTGGTACCACGGCCTACATCAGCCTGAAAGAGCTCGGAGAGCTATCAGAAGGGAGGAAAGTTCTGGTGACCGCAGCAGCTGGGGGGACCGGCCAGTTTGCCGTCCAGCTTGCAAAGAAGGCCGAGTGCCATGTAATTGGAACTTGCTCTTCTGATGAAAAGTCTGCCTTTCTGAAATCTCTTGGCTGTGATCGTCCCATCAACTATAACGGCGAGCACGTGGGTGCTGTCCTGAAGCAGGAGTACCCGCGAGGCGTGGACGTGGTGTATGAATCCGTCGGGGGAGCTATGTTTGACTTGGCTGTGGACGCCTTGGCTACCAAAGGGCGCCTGATAGTGATTGGGTTTGTCTCTGGCTACCAGACTCCTACTGGCCTGTCCCCTGTGAAAGCAGTAACGCTACCAGCCAAACTGCTGAAGAAATCCGCCAGCGTCCAGGGCTTCTTCTTGAACCATTACCTTTCTAAGTATCGAGCCGCCATGGACCACTTGCTTAAGATGTATGCGAGTGGAGAGCTGGTTTGTAAGGTCGACCTTGGAGATCTGTCTGCAGAGGGCAGGTTTACCGGCCTGGAGTCTGTCTTCCGGGCCGTCGATTATATGTACATGAGAAAAAACACTGGAAAAATTGTTGTTGAATTACCTCACTCTGTCCACAGTAAGCTGTAAAAACAGAACAATGGCATAAATAAAAGGAGAAAGAAAATGGACATTTTATGCCCCAGAATTACTCAAATCAATTTATTTTTAGTTAGTAACGGAGATAATATTTTTTAAAACAGAAGTTCTAATGAATAGATTTCTCTTTCTCTTTTCTTTATTTCCGTTCTTTTTTTTTTTTTTTTTTTTTTCCTCCATTTCAAAAAAAAAAAAAAAAAAAAATGTGCTAATAAAACTTCCCTCAATGGCACAGAGGTAAAACCTTTACATTCAATTCTTTACTCATGGACGGTCTCATTCCAGATTTTATTGTCCCAGGGAACTAAATTAATTCCTGATGCAAGATCTGATCAAATCAATATGTCTTCAGCTTGATGAGATTTTAAAATTGGTCTTGAAAATAGTTCATGAGTTCTTTGCTTTGGAAGAGTCTGGTCTGATGCTAGTAAGTTGTTAATAAATGAGAGATACAGCAAAAGTCAGCCGTTTCTCAGAGTCCATATTCTCAGGAAATGGTCCTTCTTTTTCTATAAATCACCAGCCAACTATCTAAATAGAAATTTGGAGGGATTCTCCCAAAACTTTGACTTTGTTAGATTATTAGAAAAAAAATTAAGTGAGCACAGACCTCTTTTAAAGAAGCATCTCTCATTTAATGGCTTTTATGCGCAGTCATCCCGGTGAGGCATGTGTAGGATGGAAAATTTCTCTCTTCCCTTAAGAAGAAAATTAGTGTTGAAAACGTATATAGACAAAAAGCAGGTTTGGGAAAGGGAAACTATAGAGATTCAGGGGACTTTAAAAATTTACTACAGGCACGGGAAAGGGAAAAGGATGTGCTCCATCCACAGTGAGGGTCTACATAACAAAACACGGGCCATACAGGGGAAAGCACTGTAGGTACCTAACAGCACCCTTCATAAGCCTAAGTAGGGTACGTCAAATAGCATCGTGCAAAGTAGGCACCAGAATGATCTAAAATGATGTGCTTCGTGTTAGAGACTTTCGGAAGGTGTGTTTTATCTCTGATCGTGGAAATAGTACAGCAGCCACTGATGCTCTGTTCCCATTTTACTTCTCCACATGTCCTGGTGGAATGAGATGCTTCTTGTCACTATCGCCTGATGTCACAGACACGAAAGTAACGAGTCCCGCGCCTTCCCCTCTGAATCAAGCCTGCCGCTGATCCGCCTTCATTCTAACCTTCAGCTCACCAAAGGCTGCTCCGGTTTTCATCATTAAGGTGGGAATGCCGTCGTGCCTTTCTAATGAAGGCAGAGCCCGCCAGAGTATTTTTCAAAGCCTTGGGTTTCGGCGTCTCTAACATGCTGAATAAATAGACAAACAATTAAAGATGCTCCAGGAAACTTGGTGACCGTATTGAATTTTTCTTTCCTTCTGTCTGAGGAGCAAGGCTTACTGCTGAATAGCTGTTAGTATCTATTTTACAAGATTTACTCATTTTCAGGTACCTAATGTAGCTGCTAGCATGCATACACAACAATACAATTTATATGGTAAATGGGACCAAATAATGGCTTCACTGAATGTTATGGCTGCACTGAAGGGAAATGTCACGGTAAATACCTACCAAATTATGGATCATGCCGAAGTGTCACAACTGCACTCAAGACAAATAGCACTGGAGGCTATTGCCACCGTGACGCTTTTGAGTTATGAAGAAGGGGAGCAGCCTGATGGGAGGCTCTTTGTGTCCTCATTATAGCAAAGGGTTACTAGTTCAGGGTACCAGAGAAGCTGGTCCAGTGTGCTGCTCCGTTATTAATCTGTCCCTTTCAGACCTCACAGCTATAGCAAAACGGAAGGAGACTTTGCCTACCTTTTCGATACGCAAACAAAGGGGAGGGGACAGGTTTTATGAATGTAAGTGCAAGGGAATGACCGGTAGTGGGGAAACGTGTAATCAAATCATCTCATCAGAGTATATTATTCAATTTAACATAGTATCTGTCTGATAGGCTTAGTTGCTTCCTGTGCAGCTAGATGTGTGAAGTCCAAGCTATCACGCGTTTTCTTCTTCTGTCAAGACTTGAGTAGTAAGGACATCGCCAACTAAATTGCTTCTTCTAAACTGAATTGCGTCCCGGTTTCTCTCATTTTAATGGGAGAGTAATAAAGATGAAAGACCAACATTTTAACTGATGGATCCCTTAAGCTACAGAATAGAAATTGATTATGTTTTGAAGGCATATACTAAATTCAGCAATGTTAAAAAAAAATGCAAACACCCAGGTTTAAAATAAAATATAATCTGAAAACCCTGCTCTGTCTTTCCCCACACTAAGAAACTACAGTGCATGCTGTTTTCATTTATTCTTAGAAAACAAGCATGAAAGATTCTGCCCGTTCAGATAATGCCAAAAATATGTTTAAACTTTTTTTTTATTCTTCTGAAAAATGATTTGTAAATTGAGGGTCATAGTTCAGCATCAGTTTCATCTTCTGGGATTATCGTTCAAGACCAGCCTCTAATGGGAGGTGAAATGGTACAATGCTCTCACCACCTTTCTTCTGAACTGTATTACATATCACAAAAAGTACATCCATAATTCAGAGCAATTGTCAGTCTTTGTTTAGAGACGGGGCCAGGGCTGAACGATCACGGTGGATGAATTATTTCTGGGTTCTCAGGGTGGCCTTCTCTACACATCAGCCTTGAGGTCTCTGGCTGGGCGGATGGAGAGCCTTGACTCCAGTAAGTATGCCAAGAAACAAGGGAGTCCCCACTCTTCCTTCCCATTCCATTGTGACTTCTAAAAAGCCAAATGCTCTTCCTTCCAATTTGTCTTGCACGCGAAAAATACCAACAATGTCATTGCAGGTCCCTTAGATGATGACTTCTGCTGCTGACCGACTTCAGCATTAAAAAAAAAAAAAGATCAGGAAATAGTTTGCAAAGAAATGACACGGAAGTTTTGCATGACATGTTCTATGAATTGTTATTATATGATTTCATCTGAATGGAGTTTCTCAGGAGTAGAATGGAGCATCTATAAAGGGTCATTAGTATTACATCCAGTATTTAATGAAAGTGCAGTGACAAGTAGCTGCTTATTAAAATGAAAATCTTGCGTTATGTGCTTAGGAACACTCCAGCTAATGAGGCTGTAATGTCCTCCGTACAACACAGACCTTCTTTTTGTGTGTTTGCCACCACAAGATGCTGGAAACTTGACAAATGATATCATTTAAGACATGTTTGCCGTAGGGACCTGCTTTTTGGCTTCCTGTTTCTGGCTTTTATTTGGGTAACATTTATAATGGCCACCTGACTTGTAACGGGTAACGTTTTAACCCCTTCGTAGAGCTCCCAATTAGCGAGAATTCACGACCGTCAGGATTTCCTTTAAAATGGGGCAGGGAGTGCTCAGTACTGAAGATGTTTTTCTTGATCACTTGACCACATGTACATATGGGATAAATACCATATCTTAGATTTGTATAAAAACAGATGAGCAACGTGCAACTTTCAGAAAATATATGGTAGGAAAAGACCAAGCACGATCAACTGTGGATAATAATTTCCTAGGGGTTACAATGCAAGTTTTATGAATGTAGCCCAGGTGCAAATGGCCTGACTTGATGAATTCATAATTACTGTTCTCTATACTTTCCATTCTCTTGTTTTGTTCAATATTATTTGTTATTTATAATACTTATTTAGAGACAAAATTTATGCAAACTTTATCAGTTAATTTTGGGGTTTGTTGGCAGGTTTTTTTTAAGTTAGATTTTCTGTAACTAATTTTCTAGTTATGGCCCAGAATTGTGATCATATTTCGGATCACATTTCAGAAGTCAAAATGTAAAACGCTGGATTCTCAGTACCATTGGTATGGGCATTTTAACCTGGAATTCCATTTTTTAGTAGACCTGTAGCATCATGTTATTCAACTTATAAAAGGAAGAATGTTTGACATGAGAACCTTGTTGCTGTTACCATGAGCAAACTGTGGAACATAGGCAAAAAAAAAAAAAAGTGCTATACAAAATAAATAGTATTTTCCCAGCATGTATCAGTTCAAGTAATTCTTGATAGTAGAGAGTTGATATTCCACAAAACTCAAATAAGGTGCATATTTCAATTCTGTATGCTTTAGTCTTCTGTATAATTCTCTCTCCAGATCTGAGTAGCTAATGAGATGTGAAAACGAGACTAAAAGTGGCCGGGTGTAAATACTGTCTTAGCATCTATTCTTTTTTCATAATTTTTATTGAAATATAGTTGATTTATAGTGTTGTGTTAGTTTCAGGTGTACAGCAAAGTGACTGACTATATATATATATGTATACATATATAAGAATGTATATACATACATACATATATGTATATATACACATTCTTTTTCAGATTCTTTTCCATTGTAGGTTATTACAAGATATTGAGTATAGTTGCCTTTGCTATTTGGTAGATCCTTGTCAGTAACATGGATGTTCCTAGCGATTATCATACTAAGTGAAGTAAGTCAGACAGAGAAAGACAAATATCATACGATATCACTTATATGTGGTACTAAAAAAATGTTACAAAGGAACTTATTTACAAAACGGAAATAGACTCACAGACATAGAACACAAACTTCCGGTTACCGAAGGGGGAAGGGGGGGGTGATAACTTAGGAGCTTGGGATTAAAAGTATCCACGCTAGTATATATAAAATAGAAAACCAGTATCCATCCTCGATACGATCCTTACTCACCGGAGACCTGCCCTTCAGCGCTTGCTCAGAGCATCCCGGGAGACACAGATCCCGCTGGGGAGCGCGTCTTGCATCTCTCAAGCGGTAGGGTAAGTACTCCATGGAGTATAGTTTAGGGAAACCAATACATGTGCTGGGAAGCATGGGCCAAAAGTACAGATTCCCACGGCCCCCCAAAGCAAGAGTTTCCTTTGAAGGGCCCTATCTGACAGTGTCTTCATGCCAACATGAAATAATAATTAAAACACCCCCTGCTGACTGGTGGCAGCGTCCAATACGAAAGATGGATTGGCACTTAGACCTCAGGAAAATGGTCCATAAATTGTCAG